TCTTTGTCTGTTCTTACTTTTCATTGATATAAAAAAATAATTTTATAAGAAAAGAGGTTCATGTGGCTCAATGTTTTTGAGACCTTAATGTCCAAATACCTTGGTGGCCAACTGAGGGCCCCTTGGGCTGTCACATGGTAGATGGTTTGAGAAGCACATGTTAAAAGGGTAGACCAAGTCCAGAGACTGATTTAGGCTTAGCCTTTCTCTCGTTTTCTTGAGAGTTAAATTAGGGTCCCACAGGAGCTACCTTAATCCCCTCTGAGGACAACACTATCCCAGGCTAACCAACCTCTGCTAGGCTCCACCTTTGAATGCTCCCTCTAGGTCCCCTCCATTTCACACCAGGAACCTAGCTAGCTCTGAACTCACAGATTCCATCAGTAGCTGTCTGTGCTCCTGTGTGTTCAGAGTTCAGTTCAAAGTCTTTATCCGTGTTGTGGTGATATTTATCAGTTAGCACTAGAGACAAAGAGGCCATAGTGTGCAACAGTTGCCAGCTTCTGGCTTGTGAACATTTTCACCGTGACCAGTTTCAAGTCATCTGTATGAGTTCATCAGACTGTGGAAAAGAGACACACACAGCACTCTAAAATCGACACATTGATTCTAGTTCACCATTGCAATGCAGAGAATTTAGAAGACCAGAGAAGAATTGCTAAAAGTAGAATATATGATTTCATAATGTCATGGCTATAAGAAAAACTCAGCTTTAATATAATATTACATTTCCAAAACATTTTGTTTGGGTTGGATGTTATTACTGCTATTTTGTATACAAAATTTTGATTGATGAACATAGTATTTTAATGATTTAATGCATGATTTTTTTTACTTCTTCTAATTGTGGACATTTAAGAGCATTTTCCAGTCTTTTGTATAGCTGTAAATCATGCTGTATAATAGTAGGAGAATGCATACATGTTTCTTTGGGTATATAGTGTCCTTCATATTTCTGGATACTTCTTTAGGTCAGGTTGAAAGGTCAAATTATTTTGATTATTGTTCTAAAACCTATTCACTAATGCCCTCTAGAAATTTTGTACCAACATATTCACCGACTTTAAAAAAACCTATGAATTTCTACCTGTGATGCCACTACTACAGATTCTTTTGTAAAGGTTTTGATGATTGGCATATTATTTTTTATTTTTTTATGTATTTGTCTTACTGTATGAATGTTTTTTTCTGTATGTATGTATCTGTACCATGTATGTACTTGGTGCTCACAGAAATCAGAAGAGGGTGTCAGATGCCTTGGGACTGGAGTTATAGATACTTGGGAACCACCGTGTGGCGTGCTGGGAACTGAAGCCAAGTCCTCTGCAAGAGTAACATGTGCTCTCAGCCATAGAGCCATATATCACCACCTGATAAATCAATATTAGGGTCTTTCTTGGCAAGTGTAGTGAATATTTTTTAAATATTATGCTTGAAAAATAAAATACTTACCAAAAGCTGAGTTGCTTTTATGAAGACATTTCCAAAATCTATTTTTTGAAGTTATAATTACATTATTTTCTCTTCTCTTTCGTCCCTCCAAACCTTTCCATATATCCTTCCTTGCTCTTTTTTTAATGTATGGCCTGTCTTTTTCATTAATTGCTGCTACATGTATAACATACATTTATATTTCTAAATGTACCATTTTCAGTATAATGTTACATGTATGTATGTATGTATGTATGTATGTATGTATGTATGTATGTTTTCAGGGCTGACCATTTGTTATTGGATAACTAATTAGTGTGCCTTCCCTGGAGAAGACAGTTTCTCCCACTCCACAGTCCTTAATTGCCCGTAGTTCTGTGTGTGTAGGATTGAGACCTCAGGGGATCCCCCATCTACTTTGGCATGTTCACTGTTGTTGTCTTTGTTCGGCTCATGCCTAGGCAGTCATATAGTTGAGACTTGATGGAGGTAACAACTGATTTTAATAAGAAACAGTCTCTCAGCAAACTCCCAATCCTTGAAATCTTTCAGCCCCCTCTTCTGTAGTGTTTCCTGAGCCTTAGATGTGGAAGTGCTTTATCAATGTATCCAATGGGACTGGGCTCCACAACTCTGGGTTTTGATTGGTTGGGGTTTTCTGTAATAGTCTGTCTATTGCACAGAGAAGTTTCATTGATGAGACATGAGGACTACTCTTACCTGTAGGTACAAAGGCATATGTTTAGATTGCTGTAGGGATTATGCTGGCTTAGTAAAGTGATGATCGAGGGTTCTCCTCCAACATCTGTGACTTCACTAGCACTTGAGTTTCTTGTATCACTCGTGATATCCCTCTTGGGTGGGTCTTAAGTCCAACTAGAGAGCTGTTGATTAACACCACTGTTCCCTTAGGGTTATAATGCCAAGCAGTTTTATGTGCATTATCGTTTTTTAAACTTTGAAAAGTTCATAATGCATACTATACGTGCATCATGTCCACCACCAACTCTTCCCATGCCTTTCGTCTTCACCAGCCCTGGAATTCACAGCCTCCACTTCTGTAATTATTATAGCATATGCATCACCACTTTTAGTTCTTCTTTTCAACCTATTTTTTGACAAAGATGCCCCAGTTTGCAACAGTTTCCCATGTCAAGACTTTGTACATTCCTTTGTTCTGTTCCCTCTTAACATCGTCTATCTCTGTTCCCTGGGCTTCCCAGTGCCAGCCTTACCACTCTGTGGGTCATTTAGACACATAGCAAGGCAATTAGGCTCCCCCAGCCTCCAGCTTCCACTTTCTGGGGGCATTTTGCTTCACTTTTTCTCAAACTTTATACCAATTTTAATCCCAAGATGTGTTCCCTGCTGATTATCCCCCACTAGCCCCTACTCATGTCCTCCTGGCCTCCCTTCTCTACGTCACTTTCTCTGGCATTTAGCATCGTCTCATTTTTACATCTATTTTAGTTCTTCATAGTCTTCTCTGAAAGAGTCAAAAGTTTATAAAGATAGTGAATGTTCCCAGGGTGGAGAGGGTTGTGGCATTTGTCAGAGAAATAAGAACACTCCAACCCATATCTAAGGGCTTTATGTTACCTTTATAAAATCAGTTTGTGTACAGTTTTTAAATACTGAAGATAAGCATTTGTGAAATTCCTAAGAAAAGCATTACTAGATTGTTAAACACTGTGTTGTAACACAATTAGGTTAGTGTTTTTATGTCACCAAATGTTCCATTATAAACTTTTAATTCAAGTTGTATTTACAAATTTTGTTTTGTAAAGATACTTGGGATTTAGATGGCTCAATTTGTAAGCTGATTGCTTCGCCAGTTTGGAGGACTTGAGTTCAATCCTTAGAAGCCATGTAAGAGGTCAGGTATGATGGTACATGCTGTAATCTCAGCCCAGGAGAGGTGGAGCCAGGAGAATTCCTACACCTCACTGGGTATCAGTGTAGTCTGCTTGGTGAACTGCAGGCCAGAGAATACTGTTTAGAGGAAGCAGGCAGTCTCCTGATGACTCCAAGGCTACACACATATATAAACACATTCACATGCAGACACAGATAGACTCACACACATTTATACAAACAGGTACATGTATACATACAGAGATGCACATATACATGCACACACACAGACACATATACACATTCATACAGAAACACACAAAACACTCTGCACATTCATAGATACATGCACACAGATGCACACTCACACATACACACACACACACATGAATATATATGAACACATTCACAGAGACACAAAAACACATTCACAGATACCCACATGCACACAGATGCACACTCACACGTGGGTATACAAGCTTAAGCACTTGTACAAATGAACACCTACATGTTATAAAATGAATCATAAATTTTTACTTAACACTACATCTTAACCCCATTTTGGTTTAATTTTTTACTTGTGACTAATACATAAAATTGATTTTGTTGTATGTGCCTAAATTAAAATGTAAAGTCCTGTTTTTTTTCATGTGTTGATTTAATTATTAAAAAATGGCCACTGGCCATGCCAACTATCTAAGCTGCAGCAGCTCTGCCTAGCCCAGCCGCCATGTTCTGTTGCCAGAGGCCACCTGTGCACTGTGGCTAGAAATGGCTAGCCAGAAACACCAGCCCTGCCACCCACGAGATGTCAGCGTGGGAGATGGCTCTGCCAATCTTCCACTCTGTCTCCGCAAGGCTGGGCATTGCCCAGACCATCCCACCATCCACGCAGGCCCAGTAGGAAAATGAGACTCTGATGCTTAAATTACTCAAAAGCTTATATATTTGGTAATGATCAGTAACAAGATGCCCATACAATCATAAGTGTAACCCAATACCCAACCTAGATACACCAACTACCTTTGACTGCTACAGACACGTGAACATCTCTCTCTCTCTCTCTCTCTCTCTCTCTCTCTCTCTCTCTCTCTCTCTCTCTCTCATCCCTCCTAGCTCCTCTTCCTTCTCTTCCTCTCCTCCTTACTCCTCCTCTTCCTCTCCTTACTCCCTCCACCTTAGCTCCTCCTACATTCGTGTAACTATTGGTGTTTGTTGTTGTCATTGTTAGTGATTTTGTTTATTCTTTCAGTATATTAAAATTTTAGCTGGGGTGTTTCTCATGTAAAATTTAAAGGGTCAAATCTCAGAGATTTCTGAATATTTTTGTGCCAGGATCTCTGTTCTTAAAAGTACTCTGCAGTGTGGGCAAAGTCTGTCTGAGGTTGTTTTTGTCATCACCACAACCTTTGAGTAGATACTGAGTGAACAGATAAATAGAAATATACTAGGAGGGCTGGGTTTCCAGAAGTGAACCTATCAGGGTCTGAGAGTCAAACCTACCTGCAGCCCTGTGTTTCCTAAAGTACCTGCCAAGTGCTCAGGTCAGATGGCTGACCCTTCTGTTGACTCTGGGTTCCATACCTGCCTGTCTCTCCAGGAAAGCTTGATAAATATTTGTGGATTGAATTGCATAAATGCTCTGGGGAGAGAGCCTTTCCAGACAGATGTTCTAAGGATAGCTGTCTCTAATTCTTTCTCTTTTTTCCTTTCAGCTACGGTCTAGCACTGAGCTCCATCCAGATCTCCTCACAGACTGTCTCGCTGTGCAGCCTCTGCAGCCAGCCCCTTCCCCAAGAGATGCTTCTGATCACACCGTGGGACACTCCCCAGGGCCAGGGCCAGGGCCTGGGCCTGAACTCTATTCAGGTAAGAATACAACAGCAAATCTTGTTCAGCTGAGAATCATCTGCTATGTCAGTGGCCTGTAGTTGTTCTCCTGTGCCAGATTGGCAAAACAGCCCTTCTTTTCCTTCATAAAAAAAAAAAAACCAAGGTTAAATACCACATTTAATTCATCCAGTTCTAGACTTCTGCCAGAAGTTAGGTGCACCCACTCCTCCCAGGAAGCTTAAGCTTACTGATTTAGACTCAGAGGAAATGGTTTGCCCTGAAGCATGCAGCAGACTACATTCTAAACTGTAAGTAGAACACTAGTTATTACCTTTCCATTTTGAATGAAATTCCCAGGTTGCTATAAAAACTTTGACATTAGGAAAGCAACCTTTAAGAATATCCATTAATGGCTCCCAACCAAAGGGAGAGGAAGGGAGGATACTCTAGATCTCCTGTCTTCCACCTGGGTTTGACTCATAGGTGACCCTATATTTAGAAAATTGCAGGTCGCAAAAAAAAAAAGAAAAGGAAATACTGTTCTAATGCAGCAAGAAAAGTCACTGTTTCCATTTGATTCCCTTAGCTTGCAGTTTGGGTGCATTTTCTAGACTCTATGGTGGTAGAGTACTTGAGCAAACATAATTAGTTTTATTACTTTCACGCAGAAAACTCTTGCTGTAAGCCATCTGAAATCGAGTCGCATTTGCACCACATTCCAGACAATAAGACTTTTCCAGTTTCAGTGACTTGCAAATCTCACTCCCATCTGCATCTCAGTCCACAGCCAGCTTGGCAGCGTACAATCTTTTTTTTCTTTTGCAAATTACTAATAAGCCATAGAGAATGAAGAATTTATAGATGCAATACAGTGGAATAGGAGAAAGACATACTTGTGTAGTTTTGTAAAGCTTGACAGTTCTCAAGATGATCCGGCACAGAAGAAAAGGGCATTAGGCAGTCACTTCAAGAGCATCAGTCATGAAAATAGTCTTAATCACAGTGGACCGGAATTGAGGTACCTTTAACAATTGTTTAGGGACTTTTTCTATGAAACAACATAGCCTCATCTTTTTCAAATCCAAAAACATTGATTAAAACTTACTTGAAGGACTGACCAGATCTCTAAAAGATGCAAAGATATATCATCAAATGTTTGTGGCTGATGCAGACACCACCAACACATACTGAAAACCTTTGTATTAGACATATATCAAGAGACACAGCTAGCTTTTGTTTACATAGGGGCTTCTGATTTGCACATTGCTGGAACATGAACATTTATTCTAACACATTAAATGAATCTATATAATAGTTAAAACAAACTATCACCACTCCTGTACTTTTTCAGCCAATGAAGGTACTTTGCTAAAGATCTGGAATTCAGAAGTTAAGGTCAAAGGTAATCAGAGGAGACTGAGAAATCCCACATATAATAGCAACAGTTTGTGGGGACTGGCCAGTCTTGTCCCATATTTTGGTTGCTATGACGCCTGCCGCTATGGAAAATATTGTCTATGTTGTATGCGTCTTACATAGGGTTCATTTTCAGCTCTCGTGTTGGACTAGATGTATGTTTTTACATGTCTGGTACTATTTTTAAAGTTTTAGAATTTCCAACTTTTTAAGGTTTACTTCTAGTTTGAAATGGCTTTGTCATCTGTGATGCTTTTCTATATTTGGTTCTCAAAAAGATCTTGAGCTCTTGCCTTTGAGCCTCTAGCTGTAGCAGAAGAGCTGAAACACCAGGCAAGGAAGTGTAAGTTGTCGTAGCCATCAGTGCCAAGTCCCACAGTTGCCAGGCATTTTTTCCCCCTGAGAACACTTGAAGTAGTCAAGTGCCACCCTACCAGTGTTTCCCTGGGATTTTATCTCTTTAGGTAGCTCATAAGTGTCAAAGTTTATTCTCCCTACTTTATGTTTGTTTCCCTCGGGTGCTACTATACTTTCTTGGCTTCTGAATTATTTTAAATAATTGATTATAACTTTTGATTTGCTGAATAGGCAACAAACCCAGAGGCAGAACCAGACACAGAGAAAAACTCTAAAACCAAACTTACATACCTTCTTTGTTAAGCTTTAGACATGCACTTGTGAAGAGTACATGTGCGTGCCAGCTGCATGTGGGCTAGAGTAAAGGTCTTCGGACACATGCCAACCTATGGCACATGCCAAAGGCATGCTGGAAACTGTTCATCAATTAGTTAGATGTGAAACCTGAATTGTTAAGTCTATTTGATGGACCTAACACTTGGTTTAGTGGCAGAAATACTTCAAGATGGCTAGGGTATGGTTCAGTGGTAGAGAGCTTGTCTAATATATGTAAGATCTTGGGTTTTATCACCAGCACTTTGCAAAGTAATTGGATATTCTCTTTAGATTCTGTTAATAAAAATCAGGGAAATACAGTAAATCAAGAAAGTACTCGCCTAATGATTATCAGATATGCATGCCTTTAGTTGCTAGAGAAATGATTTAGCACGAAGTATCTTTATGAACCTGTTGAGTGTATGTGGGTATAGGAGAGGAATCCCTTAAATACAGCTTTGAGCTCCGTCAGCCCTCAGATGTCACAGGATTCATTTGTATGGCATTAAGATGGTCAGGGAAGATGGCAGTTCTGCTATATAGAAATCAATAATGTCCTGAAGTACCTACTTCCTTTGTCGACGCAGACGTCTCAGACTGATAAGACAATGACTGATCAGAATGGATTGCCTAAAAAGACTTTGATCTTTGTCAGAGAAGATAGTGCTCTCGGTGAAGAGGATGAAATAAACTTGATCCCATGTCGAGGACAGTTTTAAATTGTGGCATTTCCTTTCTCACTGTTGGAAAATCCCTGGGCTCCCAGGCCTATTGCTGAGTGGGCCGCAGGGCCAGGTGAGAAAGCCCTGAGACTGGTTCATTTCTATTTTGTTTTTCAGAGACCATGGCCTAGGTCAATATGGAAATTACAGGTGATTTATTGAGGATGTTAGACTCTTTTCACAGCAAGTCAGAGTGTGAATGCCACGTTCAAAGCATTAGGATCCATATAAATCTGAGCTCCTCTAACATGCTAATTGAAGTAGGCAAGTCTAAATTTCATGAGTTTACAGCAGCATTGACCAAGTGGGCCAGTGCTGGCTTAGCAGAGGCTCATCACACAAAGAATGCCATAGGTAAACGATCTGGCCCATGGGTGGCCACAAAAGTACTGGCTCTCTCTAAAGCACAGCTGTAACTATGGCCTCAATATAAGCTGATCTTAGTGAACCTGTTCTCAGTCATGAAGACTTGGTGCTAGACATTAGAATCGTCCACCAGAAATCCAAATCCTTGGGACTTGCTCAGAAACTGCTGATCAGTGGGGCTAAAGCTACAAATGAAGGCTGTCATGTGACCCAGAGGTTTGCTTGCATCCTATTCAGTTATCCTCTAGTCCATCCTGATAGGACAGATACCCACGCAAGAGATGCTCCTGACAATACTGGCCTTTTACAGAGATGGTTGAGATAGTGAAATCTCACAGAAACTACTATGAAATGGAAAGCTACTACAACAGAATCCAGAGAGACCTTCAAGAACGGGGGGACTTTATTGGTACTGATTCTATTGAGTTATAAAGTAATCCTTGTATTTAGAGCTAGTAAGTCCTATTGAACTATTTAAATTTTAGTGTAACTTTAAGCGTTTTAGGGGGACAAAAGTTCTCTGTTCTGATACAATATATAAGCATAAATGAAAAGAAAATAAAAATTAATTTATAAAGTTTTATATTGCTAGGAGAAGGGAGCTTTTCTTTTGCGATGATACCAGGGTTTTCAATAAATAGCACTGTGTTAGCATGTTTTACGAATAGTGTTTCATTTTGGTGTAATCTCATGTTATATGTTTTAATATACTTTCTACATTCTTAAATTGAGTATATTTGCTGTCTTTGGATAGCTTCTTAGAAAGTTGTAAATGTTAAACATAATATTCTGTAAAAGAGCCTCCCACGGTCTCTTTTTAAAAAATGGTTGTTAATTTATGGGGTGTTCATTAGAGGGTTCTACACTGACACACAAATTTCCCAGTAGATTAAACTTTATAGGAGAAAGCTGTAAAAGATGAACGTAACCTCCATTAAAGCCTTCAGAAAGACACAGAATGTTGTAAAACACACAACTCTATCTTGGATGATCTTCGGAAGCATTGTTTTGCTTGTAATTTACAAAGGGGAGAAACTTTGGAATGGGGTGGACAGAAGAGAGTGGAGACAAAAGGAATATGAAGGAAATGCCATGACAATGCTTTCATGATGCTTTCCCTGATGGCTTCTTAAGCTGTCATCTGAATCCATTTCACTTCATCAACCTGAGGGTCCTGACATCTTGGAGATTGAAGGATCCTTTCATAGGGGTCACATACCAGATAACCTGCATATTGGATATTTGCATTATGATTCATAAAAATACCAAAATTACACTCATGAAGTAGCCATGAGAATAATTTTACGGTTGGGAGAATCACCACAATATGAAGAACTGTATTAAAGGATCACAGCATTAGGAAGGTTGAGAAGCACTGTTGTAGAGCATCTGTTTGTGATTGTGACCGTAGGAGCAAACTTCATGTCCTCTGTGGGCTTGAATGAGGTTCGTCCTCCTCAACCTTGAGACAGTCCACCAGTGAATATAAGGACAGTGGAAGGCCTGGGTAAATTCAGTTTTCTGAGTGTACCCCTGGAATCTCTAATTCAGTAGTTCTTAACAAACCCAACTTTTTCAATCTCTGCCAGATTATTCTAACAAGTTCCGATCCTATACAGAGTGCTGTTCATCCCAGTAGCTCACTTGGGAATCCATGGTTTTGATTCACAATATCTGGTGATGGGCTTCTAAAAAACCTCAATTTGAATTTCTAGAGGGCGGTTAGAGTATGAGTCTGTAGTGCCCATGGGTTGCTCACTATGGAATCCTTTAACGGGGTCACTTGATTTTCATCTTTTCGTGCTTTTTTTTTTTTAATTGAGAGAGCTTTTATTATACACACTCCATTAAAGCAAATTA